CCACCAATCCTCTCTCTCTTCTAACAATTATGTTCTCGGAGTAACACAGAAGATTCATGTAGATGTACGAGTATGAAACAGCAATGACGCGTGGGCCAGGGACCATCATTAATTAATGTGACACATCAGTTTTTTGCTCAGCTGGCAGGCTTAGCACCCATCCAGGCTGAAGCACTAGGACTAGCCTCAGGAGACCAACATCTTATTATTGCCATGAATGTCGCATCCGCCTCCCTTTCTACCCGTTTAGAAAGCAGATACAGTAGCTGTTTGTAAACATGAGCATTGAGCTCCATGCTCACTGATTTGAGTGGTTTGTGTGTGCGTGTTTTTTTTATTTGTTTTTTTGAATTGTTCAGGAACCGGCTGGAGTACCGCGATCTCATTTGTACGCACTTAAGACGAAAGTTCCACTGCATTTTAATTATCGGCGCCTGCATCTCAGGATCTCGAGGAACCTACTCATTGCCTCCACAAACAAGTGGGCCGGAGCTACCACTTGTCGCCTGTCAGACAGAGCCGACACAATAACATGGTAGAACGATCGGCGACGCAATTCAGATCTAAATCGCGCGAGAAAAGTTATTATATGTGTTTCACTGCCCCCGCCTGATGCAGGCTCTCGGATCCTCCTCTCGGCCTAAATCATGCATGTGCCTACTGGTAATCGGGGATCGGCATCGATTCGAGCAACGGATTATTCCTTCTGCCGCGGGGTAAAGTATGCTTCAAACTGCGGCCTAGCGACTATGGGAGAGATTACACATGTAAAGTATGCTTAAGTGTGCCCACCGGCATGTGGATTTTTTGGCCAACGTTACTTGCTGCTTCCAAATGTAGAGATACACCACGGCAAAAATTGCCAGCTAAGACAAGATAGCTGAACCCAGAGAGCAAGGCAGAACAAGAAAAATCATACCAGCGAGGAAGGATTTTAATGTCACCGGCAAGGCAATTTCTGAATTTCTGCTTCCTCTGCTGCACAAGAATAACCTGAAACCGGATCGCTGCAACTCTTCCAAAAGTGAAATATCTGGGTCATGCTCCATGACAATAATTCACAATCCAATATCCAACTTCAAACGCAGCAGCTAGTGCTTATATGCACCCTCCTAAGGCAAAACTGAGGTAAATACAGAATATGTATCATGTTACACGGCTAAAAACCATTCGGATTCGACCAAAATAAGGATTATCACTTCAAGAGCTTTATCCCTCTCTTTTTCGAGAGCGACTTCTCTACTATGCTTTCTCAAGGATCAAAACTCATAATGTTGTCGCAATACACCAGTTGCTTCACATTTTTAGCAATCATCATAGGCTGCTGCTCAGCACCACTCGAGCTCATCTAGGCTACTCTTCGTCACCCGTGTCGTCCTCCTCCGTCCCATCAACCAGCTCCATCATATCCTCAGCATCTTCTATCTCTTCTTCCTCTTGTCCCTCCTTCACATCTTCTTTTCCAACTGTATAACATAGCATTGAAGTTCAGGACAAAAAAGTAACATGCGATTTGCATTTCAAAAGAACCACCACGTCAACAAATGGAACTTACCAGATTGTGGGTACAAGATGTCGCCCGAGCATAGCCCAGATTCAACCTTAACTAAGCGCATGGTCATTCTTGGTCCGACCTCTTGGAGTCTGACGGCACTTTTTCGGGATGCTCTGTTCAATTTGTCTATATCACTTGCTAGACTTACAGTCGCTGCTTCATCGTCTGGTTCGCTTTCAGATCCATATCCAGCTCTTGCAAATGGACAAGCAAACAAAGGGGGCTCATTATAGACAGAATTTGAGGAACAGTAGGTTTGGTTGTATTGCAAATGGACAAGCAAACAAAGGGGGCTCATTATAGACAGAATTTGAGGAACAGTAGGTTTTGGTGTATTAAGTCACAAATCAGGACATGGCATTTAAATCGTCACTATTATATAATACCAATGTAACAAATCATTGAGCGAACTGGTCAGAAAGCAGTGAACAACCGACTACAATTGTAAAAAAAATGCAAATTAAATTCATTTCTTGAATTTTCATTTCCATCTGAAAACACAGAAAATATATCTTGATCGATTGTTTTTTCTTAACTATCAAAATACATTTCATGGGAAACACCATAGGTAGTCATCCAATGTTGTATATTGGACTAGCTGGAGAAACATATTTATAAAATACAACCTTCAAAAGGAAGCTGGTGATGGCGTAAAGCAAGGGAATGTCTTTAAACTGTCAGATTGTCCAATGGAGCAATGGATAGTTAGGGAAGGGGGCACATTGTAAGGAATATGAGTAGTAGTAGGTTTTTCTTCATAATTATAAAACTGGACAAATCAAGCCATAATGTTAAAACTGTCACTGCTGTCTAACTTCAAAGTAACAAACAATTGAGCGAGCTGGTCTAAAAGCAACAGATAACTGCAATAACTAGATTCATTGTGTAGATAAAACCATCTATAAGCACTGCACAATAAACATCTTGAATAGTTGAATCTGCATTCCACTCATAATTAGAAGTACTCTTCTTTATAACATCTTAAATGGTTTCAGTGGACATGGAAAATGGGCATATCAGTATATGCTTTACCTGACCTAACATTGATGTCACTAGATTCATACTCCAAAGTAATTAGTTGTGTTTACGGTTTTGTATCACAAAGTTATATAATAATAGTGTAGTAATTGTTCAAAGACTTAGGCCTCCTTCGGTTTGTAGGGATCTTGTAGGAATTTCATAGGATAGGATTTTCAAAGGAAAAAATTCTATGATGCCCTTTGGTTTGTAGGAATGGATTCCTATTCCTATGTAGGATAGGATCCAACCCTTCACATTTCAAAGGAAAAAAATATTAGCTTAGACTCAATGGAAAATTTCCTATCCTATGCATCAAATGGCATCTCTTTCTCTATACGAATTGAGATGCATGTCATCTCACTTCCTATGAAATTCCTATTCCTATAATATTCCTATCATTTGTTCCAAAGGAGGCCTAGCCAAGCGAAAGCCCAATATGCGAAGTAATTTGAAATGGAGGGGGTATATACAATGATCTGCTTAGAAGGGTTGCAAGTTTTCAAGCATGTGATAGGAGTGTAGAAAATCTGTCAGATTGCTCAAACACAAGTTGAATTTCTCACATATCATATCATGTCTACATACTGCCTATGTTTTTATTTACTCCACCCATTAGCTTTGTCCTAGGTCAAACTTTAGAAAATTTGACCAAGTTTATAGAAAACAATATAAACATTTACAATAACAAATATATATGGTGTGAAAATATATACAATGCTGATGTTAATAACTTTTTCTACAAAATAACAAAGTTTGACTTAGGAAGCTAATATGTGGAGTAAATAAAAATGGAGGCAGTACTTCCTGTATGATAGATCGAGGGAATCTAATGAACAATGAAACTGTTGGGGCTTTCTCTATATCAAATCAAAGTTTTTTTTTTTGTTAATTTTGAATCTAAATTTGCATTTAAGCATACCAATTTTCCCATTCTAGATGGCACATGCCAACCGATTAAAGACCATAGTATTAACACACGCTTGAAACATATCTTATAATACACTGTAAGAAAGGTGATTCAGTTCTTACTTTGTCACATAATCACTAACATCTTTAAGATCCCTTAGGTCTGGCACTTGATTGTTCTGCATGAGTTTTCTAATCTTGCGGCTGATGCCAACAGGCTGTAGCTTGATGGAGTAATGCCGGAAATCGATAGCCTCCGTCTCTTTGTCATACTGTAGCAATAATATTCTTTGACAGGTTGATAGCTTAACCTACAATTGAAAATACGCTATCATTTTAGTATGCCAGAAAGAAGATATAAAGTTCCATCGCCAAGATATCATGCAGTACTTACAGTATCTGTATCAATAGCAGGGACCAAATGCCTAAAGAAGGTAACAAAACTCTTGAAAGGCTCGCCCAGGCCATTGAAACCACTGAGCACGACCTACAAAACACGTGATTCCACAACAAAGGTGAGTTGATTTTGTAACTAAAAAACGTAACCTATTAAAAGAACAGAACAAAATCCAGCTTATACCAGAGGCGAGTTTTTGAATATCTCTGCAGGACACCTAGGCCGCTTTTGGGAGTTTGCGATGTCAGCCGCAAGAGCGTATTCTGAAATCTGACAAGTGTAGGTTGGGCCCTGCGGTGACTTGGCGAAGCGCAAGTGCGGCAAGCTCTTTGGGTTCGAGAGGATCAAGAAATGCGTAACACCCAATGGACTGGCAACGTTGACGAAGTCCTTGAGGTTGTTCCTCTTCTTCTCCTGTTAATTTTATGAACAGAAAAGCAAATTGTGGCTCGTTAAGATGCTAAGAAACGGAATCACCGAATTGGTTTGGGGCTGCGGGGATGGAATAGGGGATTAAGATAGGGACCTTGAGCTTGAGGGCGGTGTAGGGGAGCATGAGCTTGCGGAGGTCCTGCTGGAGGTGACGGAGCGTGGAGGGGAGCTTGCCGCGCGAGAAGACGAAGCTCTTGGGGATCCTCTCGCCGGTGACCTGGTCCACGTTCGCCAGCACCGCCTGCTGCTTCCGCGCCACCGACAACGGCATTTTCCACTTGCCCGGGCCTTTTCCCTTTCCTTTCCCCTTGCCGCCGCGGCCGCCTCCACCGCCACTGCCGCCGCCACGCCGCCCGTTGCTGCGGACTCGCGCCATGGTTAGGTTTTGGGCAGCAGAGCAGATGCGTAACTTCTGAGGCGGTAGGGGGCCTAAGGATGGGGGGTTAGGGTTTTGTAGGACTAATAGTTAATGGGCTTACGAAATGATGGGCCTGGGTACTTCTCATGTCTTATCAGGCCAGCCCGTGAGAGACGGTCGAACATGGCCCTTTGGTCCTTTCGCGGCGATCATGGGCGGAGACAGGGACGGGCGAGCGGACGGAGCTTGCCTGCTCCCGCCTCATCGGTGCTCCCGTCCGTTGCTTTCTCATCCTATGGCGCCAATTAATTCTTCTCTCTTTGTCAAAACAAAATCGCGTACAACTCCGTATTGCTTCTGTTCTTCATACCCGCATACGTATCGCATTAGGCTCAGTCCGTCCTAGCAACGCTCGTGATCTGACAGAGGCCACGCGTACTCAAGCAGGGGGTCGATGGAGGGGACTGTGTCGCGGCGTCCGCCGTCTTCCTTGCGCTCGTGATCTTTCTCCTACCGGTAGCATGGGGCATGAGAGGCCTTTCCGGTGGAGGGGACTGTGCGGCGACGCAGCAAAACATGGAAATAATCACGATGCTGCTCAAGTTGTAGCTCCTCCGCGTCCCCGGTTAATCCATTTACTACCTACTCCACGTATGGGCATGGCATGGCATGTCTATTTGACATTGGCGAGTATGAATCGGCTTAGAGTAGGCTACTACATAGAGGTGAGCGATTAGATTTGCTTGCCTGGAGTACGTATGATGGCGTACCACTACGGCACTACCACCGTGAGTTGTACTACTTCCCGGCGCGCACCGACATCTCAATGCCGGTGACAGTGGTTGGGTCCTGGCCGACAGTCTAGAAATTGATGTTATCTTCCATGCCGGTGAGCCGAGGCTAGTCGGCTTCACCAGCGTGTTCGGCTCGATCTGTCGGTGCTGACTGATTAACGGCCAACGAACTTGGCGGCGCCGGATCGCCAGCGAACGCGAGGTTCTTAAGCCCAGCCTCGTCGGTGACGTCTTGATAGAATACGCAGGCGGCGTGATGCAAATACAGATACATGTATAGGAAAGAGAATACAGAACTCTATGTGATTTGTTTTGGACAACGAGAGGAGAGAGTTGACTGGAGCCGTGGGATGAGAAAGCAACGGATGGGAGCACGGATGGGAGCACCGAGAGCGAGCAGGCAAGCCGCATCCGGGGCGAGCAGGGTCAGACCCCTGCCAAGCGAGTTGGGTCATCTCAAAAAAATAAGGGACGGGTCTAGCTGGCGGCCGGGGGCTCGCTAGCGTTCGCTAGCGGCCGGCCAAATAAAGTAAGTGCCTATCCCCTGGCTCAGAGCATCTCCAACAGTTGCGCCGCAAAATTGGCCATTTTAGCGCGCGCAACCGGTAGAGTGGCTCCAGCGGGCGCGCAATAACCGCGTGCACGGCATATGGAGTTGGGCGAGTGGTCCGAATCGCCAACTCGCGTTCTGTATTTGGGGACTCCGCTTCCGCGCGCGCCACACACGAGCGCTCGCGCCGCATGAAGGAAATATGCCCTAGAGGCAATAATAAAGTTATTATTTATTTCCTTATATCATGATAAATGTTTATTATTCATGCTAGAATTGTATTAACCGGAAACATAATACATGTGTGAATACATAAACAAACAGAGTGTCACTAGTATGCCTCTACTTGACTAGCTCGTTGATCAAAGATGGTTATGTTTCCTAACCATAGACATGAGTTGTCATTTGATTAACGGGATCACATCATTAGGAGAATGATGTGATTGACTTGACCCATTCCGTTAGCTTAGCATTGATCGTTTAGTTTGTTGCTATTGCTTTCTTCATGACTTATACATGTTCCTATGACTATGAGATTATGCAACACCCGTTTACCCGAGGAACACTTTGTGTGCCACCAAACGTCACAACGTAACTAGGTGATTATAAAGGTGCTCTACAGGTGTCTCCAAAGGTACTTGTTGGGTTGGCGTATTTCGAGATTAGGATTTGTCACTCCGATTGTCAGAGAGGTATCTCTGGGCCCACTCGGTAATGCACATCACTATAAGCCTTGCAAGCATTGCAACTAATGAGTTAGTTGCGGGATGATGTATTACGGAACGAGTAAAGAGACTTGCCGGTAACGAGATTGAACTAGGTATTGAGATACCGACGATCGAATCTCGGGCAAGTAACATACCGATGACATAGGGAACAACGTATGTTGTTATGCGGTCTGGCCGATAAAGATCTTCATAGAATATGTAGGAGCCAATATAGGCATCCAGGTCCCGCTATTGGTTATTGACCAAAGAGGTGTCTCGGTCATGTCTACATAGTTCTCGAACCCGTAGGGTCCGCACGCTTAACGTTCGTTGACGATATAGTACTATATGAGTTATGTATGTTGATGACCGAATGTTGTTCGGAGTCCGGGATGAGATCACGGACATGACGAGGAACTCCGGAATGGTCCGGAGACAAAGTTTGATATATGGAATAGTAGTGTTTGATCTCCGGAAGGGGTTCCGGATGTTTCCCGAAATGTTTGGGGACGAGAACACTTTATCTGGGCCAAAGGGGAAAGCCCACGAGGCTTTTGGAAAGTGCAAAAGGAAGTTTTGCGGAGACCAGAGGCTAGACGCCAGGAACCTTGGCGTCTAGGGGGTAGACGCCGGGAACCCTGGCGTCTAGCCCTGGAGTCCGAGAAGGACTCTTGCCTTTTGGGTGAAACCGACTTTGAGGAGGCTTTTACTCCAAGTTTCGACCCCAGGGCTCAACATATAAATAGAGGGGTAGGGCTAGCACCAAAGACACATCAAGAAACACCAAGCCGTGTGCCGGCAACCCCGTCCCCTCTAGTTTATCCTCCGCCATAGTTTTCGTAGTGCTTAGGCGAAGCCCTGCGGAGATTGTTCTTCACCAACACCGTCACCACGCCGTCGTGCTGCCGGAACTCATCTACTACTTCGCCCCTCTTGCTGGATCGAGAAGGCGAGGACGTCACCGAGCCGAACGTGTGCAGAACTCGGAGGTGCCGTGCTTTCGGTACTTGGATCGGTCGGACGTGAAGACGTACGACTATATCAACCGCGTTGATATAACGCTTCCGCGAACGGTCTATGAGGGTACGTAGACAACACTCTCCCCTCTCGTTGCTATGGATTACCATGATCTTGCGTGTGCGTAGGATTTTTTTTGAAATTACTACGTTCCCCAACAGTGGTATCAGAGCCTAGGTTTTATGCGTGTATATTGTGCACGAGTAGAACACAAGTGAGTTGTGGGCGATATAAGTCATACTGCTTACCAGCATGCCATACTTTGGTTCGACGGTATTGTTGGATGAAGCGGCCCGGACCGACATTACGCGTACGCTTATGTGAGACTGGTTCTACCGACGTGCTTTGCACACAGGTGGCTGGCGGGTGTCAGTTTCTCCAACTTTAGTTGAACCAAGTGTGGCTACGCCCGGTCCTTGCGAAGGTTAAAACAATACCAACTTGACAAACTATCATTGTGGTTTTGATGCGTAGGTAAGAATGGTTCTTGCTTAAGCCCGTAGCAGCCACGTAAAACTTGCAACAACAAAGTAGAGGACGTCTAACTTGTTTTTGCAGGGCATGTTGTGATGTGATATGGTCAAGACAGGATGCTAAATTTTATTGTATGAGATGATCATGTTTTGTAACCGAGTTATCGGCAACTGGCAGGAGCCATATGGTTGTCACTTTATTGTATGCAATGCAATTGCGCTGTAATGCTTTACTTTATCACTAAGCGGTAGCGATAGTCGTGGAAGCATAAGATTGGCGAGACAACAAAGATGCTACGATGGAGATCAATGTGTCCCCGAGCGGTGACGATGGTGATCATGACAGTGCTTCAGAGATGAAGATCACAAGCACAAGATGATGATGGCCATATCATATCACCTATATTGATTGCATGTGATGTTTATCTTTTATGCATCTTATCTTGCTTTGATTGACGGTAGCATTATAAGATGATCTCTCACTAAATTTCAAGATAAAAGTGTTCTCCCTGAGTATGCACCGTTGCCAAAGTTCGTCGTGCCCAGACACCGCGTGATGATCGGGTGTGATAAGGTCTACGTCCATCTACAACGGGTGCAAGCCAGTTTTTGCACACGCACAATACTCAGGTTAAACTTGACGAGCCTAGCATACGCAGATATGGCCTCGGAACACTGAGACCGAAAGGTCGAGCGTGAATCATATAGTAGATATGATCAACATATTGATGTTCACCATTGAAAACTACTCCATTTCACGTGATGATCGGTTATGGTTTAGTTGATTTGGATCACGTGATCACTTAGAAGATTAGAGAGATGTCTTTCTAAGTGGGAGTTCTTAAGTAATATGATTAATTGAACTTTAATTTATCATGAACTTAGTCCTGGTAGTGTTAGCATATCTATGTTGTAGATCAATAGCTCGCGTTTAGCCCCCCTGTTTTATTTTTGATATGTTCCTAGAGAAAACTAAGATGAAAGATGTTAGTAGCAATGATGCGGATTGGATTCGTGATCTGAGGTTTATCCTCATTGCTGCACAGAAGAAATATGTCTTTGATGCACCGCTAGGTGACAAACCTATTGCAGGAGCAGATGCAGATGTTATGAACATTTGGCTAGCTCAATATGATGACTACTTGATAGTTTAGTGCACCATGTTTAAACGGCTTAGAATCGGTACTTCAAAGACGTTTTGAACGTCATGGACCATATGAGATGTTCCAGGAGTTGAAGTTAATATTTTAAGCAAATACCCGAGTTGAGAGATATGAAGTCTCCAACAAGTTCTATAGCTAAAAGATGGAGGAGAATAGCTCAAGCAGTGAGCATGTGCTCAGATTATCTGGGTACTACAATCGCTTGAATCAAGTGGGAGTTAATCTTCCAGATAAAATAGTGATTGACAGAATTCTCTAGTCACCATCACCAAGTTAGTAGAACTTCGTGATGAACTATGATATGCAAGGGATAA